TAACTTAAAAACTTCGGTAAAAACATTGACAAGTTATAGTTAAAAATATTAAGATATACATTTTCTAGAAGTTTATTGGACACAAGAAACGTTTTTATAACTTTGTAAGAAAAAAGTACTTAAATTTATAAAAATTAAAAAATACAGACAAGGTTCTCCACGGTCACCTTAGATAGACATCGGTGAGAAAAGATTGCAGGATTGAGATGGAGTACAAAATCTATAAGCTACTACTTTTTATCAACATGAGAAAATCCTACAGACCTTGCGAGGTTTGCTTAGTGAGATATCTTGTGTATTACAAGTGATAACAGGGAGGGAAAAGTTCCGCAGGGTATACACAGTGGAGAATCTGCAAGATATATCCGGTGAACGCATGTAAAAGCTCCTGCGGGGCGTGCCTAAAAAGAATCCTCCAGGATCCTGCAGGAAAGAAACTTGAAAAGTGATTGTGTTAAAGAATCCTGCTTAGTTAAATTTACCAACTGGAGGAAAATTTTCGGCAAAGTAACGTGATGTAAAAACCTGCAGTATATATCCGACAGTCACAAGGTTTTAGCAAATTCATGTGTATCAACGCAGGAATTCGTAAATTTTTTTTCAGTGGGTTGATAAAAGTCATGTGATGCAATCGATTTGAAAATAAGTATTGTATTCTTTAGATTTGACACGTTCCAAAAATTATTTAATAATATCAGACCGTGTTAAAAATGTCTTATTATCAACGTTATGGGGTGAATCAGTATGGCAATTACTGGGATACACGGGGCGACAGTACAGCAGAAGGAGGTATGTTTAGACTGTATTTGTGTTACTGCTAGTAGTTCACCAAGTTCTTTAAAACTAGTGTTATTGCTATCGTAGACAAAAATATACTACGCACGTCCTATCTATTTTGTAAGATTACATTCTGAGAAAATTTGTTTGTCTCTTACTACTATCCGTTTTAAAATATGATGGCTACGGATGTATTTTAAAGAACTTATGAAGGAAGAGTGATAGAAAGTTTTCAGTATTTTGTAGTGAGAGTTATAGGCTATTCACTAATATTTGAAGAATGGAAAAATCTCGGATTTTCGAGCGGTGTTTCTGATGGCTGAAAAAGAACCTATAGCAGGTGAAATGACCCATTTTTGCCTTTTTTACCAAAAATTAAAATATTCATAGACCAGTCAAAATCGATCCGTATTACTCGAAATTGTATGCCGTTTTATCTGCAGTATATTCTGGCTTTCAACAAAAGTTTTAAGAATGAACAGCAAATATTTTGGGTTTTTTGAAAAATTTTCTACAAATGCATGGAAGTATGAGAGGAAATGTTTTTTGTTGTAATCTTAACTGCCGGAACAGGTTCAGCAGACGAGATAGATTATATGTTGAAATTCTGGAGTAGTTTGCATCAGTTTTGATTGAGTTATGACTTTTTTTCATAATTTTTGATGAAAATAGTCAATAGTTGATTACTTCACCTAATACAAGTTTTGACTAATTTCAACCTTCTTCCGAAAACAAACATTGCCGCAAGACTCAAGGTAGTTAGAAACCTAGGTCCGAACGTATTATTAAGGATGTCAAATCTAACGTCAGAGGAAAATTTATACTATCCGAGAACCATGGTGGCTAGCGACACTGGTCTTGCGAAATTTTGTTGAAGATTATAGGCTATCTGACCAAGCAACTTTAGTTAAAACTGCATTTTGGCTTCAATATCTAGCGATGTTTTCTTTTTCAGGCGCATACCATTATTCGAATGGGGATGGTTCGTACTACTATCAAAATTCTAATGGTAGTACTTACTATGAAAGAGCGGATGGAGAGAAATATTATACGCCACCCGAGCAAAATCCAAGACAATATAATAATTGTAAACCAAAAAAGATGTCGAAGAAGAAGATAAAAAACAAAAAGAAAAAACGATTGGCATCTTAAAATCGAAAAACTTTTTAGAAACTAGTTTGTTGACCCACCAAAATGGGTAGATTTATAAATTTGTAGTTTTATTTTTGAAAATATCCTAACGATCTATAGAAATATTAATGTTAGACTGCAAAAAGGAAAATAGGACAGAATAAGCGAAGAGTTACTAATAATATTTAAAAAAAAGGAAAGAATTCATGTTTATACAATCTGAGATATATTTAATTTCTGAACAAAAACACAATAGATAGGGTTAGCATATCGTTTTTCTCATGTATTTATTGCATATTACAGTACAATGGATGAAAAAAAATGCAGCACTTTCTACTAAATGCCAGGAAGCATTTAACAGTCGAACATGTTTTCTAACAAGGGAACCGTCTCAAGTGATCCAACCCTCAACCATATTTTGCTGATATGTAGACCTTATTGCTCTGAGAAAAGCCTAAAAGGATTTGGGCCCATGTTGCTTCCTTCAAAAGTTATGGAATTTTTTTCTTTGATCGAGGAGGGCGATCCCTGACATCAAATTTTTCATACATAGATTCAATTTTGTTATGGCAAAAACACAGCAAAAGTTTTGCTAAAGATTAGTTCAGTAGTAGTATGAGTTAATTAAGAAAACAGAAATAACCTTTTGGCTAGCTAATTTCAAAAACATATGAACAATAGCGAGAGAAAGAACAGAAGGAAACACAAAACAAGGTTAGGAAAACAGATGTGGATCTTTTTCAAGTGATTTTTGAATTGATCGTACAAATAATATATCTTCTACAGTATCAGGATTTAATGATGATCGTCGTTCATTAATTACAAGACTCGCGGCGCTAAACTGTCTCTCGACTCTAGCAGACGTTGCTGGAACTGAATATAAATTTTTAATCAACGTCACTTAGCGTGGTTTACCTGAAAAAAGAGATTCCAAATATGATTTATGTGGTTACTTTTACAGTTAATAAAGTAATCTGATGACCCTAAACCGAAGTTACTCTCACATTATTTTGGAATTTTGTTAAGACTCTCTTATGTGTGCACATTTTCTCGTCGCATGAAGCCAATTTGACGAGCGGTCGCTATGTGAAGAAAGAACTTTTTTTGCTCATTCTGAATAGGAATCTAGCAAATAAGCAGATAGCTTTCTCGCATATGTAAGATATTCGTAGACAAATGTGTCAAATGTTTGTCTTTCTGTTCTCTTTCCTCTCATTTAACGTGGTAGAGAGAAATTCTTTTTTTTATCTCTCGTGCGTTATGCAGTGCATTTATATTACGTGTAATAGATTGCTGTGTTTACTGAACAGAAGTAGTGACACAAATATAAAGACTTAAGTAAAAAAGAGATTTGCTGGATAGGCTGTACAAAGACTGATGGCATTCCACAATGAATGATTATGCCTGTAAATAACATGTACAGCATGAAAAATTTTTATTTCTCTGGTCAAATGTTCAACAAAAATACGCTTGCTTGATAAATGATAATTGAAAAGTTCTTTTGCTTCTCTTGAAAACTGTCTCAATTCGTTTCGACGCACCGGGGTCAACATATAGCCACCGATCGCGAATCCTTTATCGGCCAACAGTTTCGTATGATCAGGAATACGATAGTGTTGATTAGGACAGATACTACAATTCGACAACATTCTGCTGTCATGCACAGATCCAAGAAAACATGATTTAAAGAAAATAAGACGTCGATCGGTGGTTCATCTTTTAAGCGAGATCTCAACTTCTTGGTGTTTTTTCCAAGATCTTGTGAGATTTCTTAACCCAAAAGCGTGGGTACAACAAGTTTCAGTGGAGTGGTCATGCTACTAGCAGAATCTTCTTTTAAGAGAATATACCTTTTAGCGGCATTCGTTAGGGTATCATAAATTCGTTTTCGAGCTGAAGGAAACTTTAATGATTTGATAATAACTACTGAGTTCACCGTATGCAGTACCCGACGCTCGAATATAATTGGTTATTGCTGTTTCTGAGTTTCCAAATTTTTGCGTCAAATCAATTATTGTTTCTCGTTCCAAATCATCGAGTTTTCTGTAGCTTTTCACTGTTGAATTTCGCATGGTTGTATTAAACAAGATATTAGATAACACTGAGAGTTAACGTTCGTATATGTATTTATATAATAAATCTCATGACACACAGAAATACATTTCTTTCTTTGTCAGATCATGTATGACGGGTATATTTCTTTTTTTTCACCTCTATTACGCACGAAAAGTATACCTACCTCTATCCTTTTTCAGTCACCTCTGTCACACACGAAAAGAAATTACAGACAAAGACGTTCAATCCCTTTGGTACAGACACATAGCTCATTCAGACTTTTCTTTAATTTGCTTCTAAGGTGTTCGAGTTTTTTTGTATTTTATGGATCAGGTTCAAAAAAGGAGACGTCTTAGACACCTCCAATTTTTACAATTGTGTTGTCAGACAATCGTTTGTATTGTTTCATCTATCGTTCGTCTTACGAGACTCTACGGATGATTTATTTGCGGCAATTAACAATACTACTAACACAATCATCTCAGCTTGCTCAGATTGTTCCTTCATTGAAGCATCTTACAATATATCATCTTTCGATGCCGTATGATCATTTCGAACGCGGAAATCTAATTGATCTTTAGGCTGAACTAGCACCTATACCCCGTCGTTTTTGTGATTTGACCGGAATCACGCGAGAGGCATTTGTCGATCTGTATCATCCTTTTCTAATTCAAACAACTCTGAAACTACTTTTATTCAAGCAAAGAATGCATTCTCGTCGGTTAGATGGAAATATTCTTCTATTACTGTTAATATGGTTACGAAAATATACCGGAAACAGTTTCTTACGTTTAATGTTCAGTGTTTCAACATCAAAAATCTCTTATAATGTTCGCTTTTCCCTACCTATTTTAACAAAAACGATACGTTCAATGATAAAACGGCCTACCCTAAACGAAATGGCAGATTTAGTTGTCTTTCACCCGGTTCTCGGACGATATGTAGGTTCCATAGATGGTATTCGTCATTGAATCACTTGTCCGAGTACGTAATCGAGAAAAATATAGTGAAATCGGTTATAGAAACCTGAAGTTGTTCTTTCTTTTTTTGCAGACAAACTTCAACGCGTATACTACAGTGAAAAAGTAAAAGCACATTGTTTAGCATCTATTTGTGTTGTTTCCGCCGACAAGGACTACAAATCCCAAATCTTCACCAAACCGAAACCCACCAAACATAAATATCCGGGTTTGGTGCATCCCTACGTGAACATAGCCGGATGTCGAATCAGAAGATACATTTTTCCAAATTCCGTCTACTTTTAGCAACAACAAACACAATCATCGATCTCAGTTGAACCGTTCAACCGTAGTCAACAAAATTTCCCAATGGCTCAACCTACTTCATCATCGATGATTTCAACTGCAACTGTTAACACAAACGATACATTACCTCAACAAAGTTCGCCAGCTGACGATCCACTTGTGTATGATTCAAATTTAATTAAAAAAATGAACTCATTATGGATGTTATTTACATCTTTTGTATCAAATATCGCTGACAATCCAAGTTCGTTACTAGCAGTCGTGCCATCAAATGTCATCGACAGCTTAGTGCCCTCAAGCTCAGCTGTTCAACCATCCAAATTTATTTGTTATTCTCCTAAGCATCACACATTACAATCTACATTTAGTTTAAGCAATGAAGAATTCGAGTCTGTTTATGATGTTCCTGCTTCAAAACGGTTTTGTGCTCATCCGCAACAAACAACAACCACGCCTTCTTCTAATCAAAGAAAACCTCCACTCCAACTCGCTTCAGCTTCAAAGTTTTCGACAAAGAAAACAATTTCAGTGAAAGGACCGATCCATTTTCCAACAAACAATGTTCTTGAAGACGATAATGATGAGCGAATATCATCACAAGTATCAATCACAACACGAAATCAATGAAAACGTCCACTTAGGGAACGTTTCAAAATGTATTCCAGTCAGTCGGTCGCTGTTCCTCTATTTCTCTATTCCCCTCTTATTCCTCAATTCTGCTCTTCCTTTATTCCCCAATTATTCCTCTATTATAGAATTTAAATTCTAATTTATTTTATTTTATTTTCTATAATTAAGTTTCTTTGATTGTATTGTTGATACATACATCGGCATATATATACTTCCAATGTGTTCGTTTTTTTAGCAGACATCTTCATAAGAGCAGACATTTTTCTGTTTAAAGAATAAAATCGGAAAGTAACAAATTTTATATTTTCATTAAATGTTCATCTTTTTTATATTCAAGGAGGCGAGTGCTCACTGTAAACTTATTTCGTATTGCACCAACTTCGCGAACTAACATTACACTAATTAGAATAGACCCATTTCCATCTTTTATACTAGTTT